CTGGTGAAAATTTCAAGCCATTAGCACCTCTAGTAATATATTTACTGAGAAAAATGGTGATGTGTTCCATACTTATTTTACCCGCTGTATTTACAGTATGAGAAAACACYTTTATTGTTGTTGCTCTGCTTGATGTTACTGCCACCAGGTTGTGAATCTGCTCCTCTCCTCTCTTGTTGACAGATGGTCGAACCTTGGTTCACAGTTTACAGGTGAACTTCATCCACGAGTTGGTCCAGGCGCGTCTCTGTGCGGATGAAAAACCCCTTCAGGACATGTACAACTGCTTGCGTATCCTTCCTTAGCTTCTGTATAATTACTCACACAAACACAGGCTTCTTATGTCTTGCCTGCAATGATTTGGACATTATCCAGGTCTGCTGTGACCCACCGCAGTTGAGCATTAAAGTGTAGCGTATTGACTAATGAAATGGACAAGTGCAGAATTCCAATGAGAACCACAGCTGCAGTAATGCATCTTTCCTAACCTCCCGTAATTATTTTTTAAATAACAAAACAGCCTTTGACAAAAGCAAAAAGGGCAGTTATTGTTTATTTTCTAGCTGCTCCCTTCGACGGGTCAGCACAGAAATTTAGGATTTAGCAGTCGTTTCACACCAGATGCCCTTCCTGACGCAACCCGGGCTCAAACCTTTAAACCTCACATGCTTCAGCAGCTGTATACATTTCTGTGGAAATGCATCACATTTAGATTTCTTCACCACTTAAATCTCTGCTAATATCAAACAGATGAAGCCACGCGTTGCATCAGGAAGTCATTTTAGAGCAAAATCACAACGTACGTCTGTGGCTTTCAGACCATAGAATCAACTATTAGCATTCATGCTAGCAGCAGAAGCTTAATCAAGCATGCGAGGTGAGCATGGCCGTGCTAATCACAATCAGTCCATCTCTGCCTTTCACCCACCGCCATGTCAAAGAGCAGTCTGTGTCAGACACAAACAGCCCTTTAACTAATAAACCTGACTGGAGGATGTGTGCGCGCGTGCCTTTTGAATCTTAATACGAGGATAAGTGCGATACTCTGTCCACTGTGGGCTGTGTTTTTCCCACACTGCATTTTCTTTAACTGCGTTGTCTCCAGACTCCTTCTGTCTGTCGCTGCAGCTCGAGGTGCTGCACTCGCAGACTCTGATGCTGATCAGAGAGCGCTGGGGCGACCTGGTTCAGGAGGAGAAATATGTGCCTGCTAAATACCTCACGCTGTCAGTCTGGAAGTAAGACTTTGTCAGATTTCCTCTTATACACAGTATATGGTCAGGAGCACATTTTGTCAAAAARGTTGAACAACAGAAAATGGTTATACAACGGTAAAATAAAATATATATTTTTAAAAGGCATGGTTCTTTTTCAAGGGTGGCCTGAAGGCAACCTGTTGTGCATGGTTTGACACAATTATGTTTTTTTCTTCTTCAGTCAACAAATTCTGGGTAAGAAAACAGGCACAGCATCAGTTCATAAAGTCACCATCAAAATCGATGAATCGGATGGATCTAAGCCATTACAAATATCCCATGAGCCTCCTCTGCCCGCCTGTGACTCAAAATTAATGGAGAGAGCCATGAAGGTGAAGTTTGCTTGTTTTCTTGTTTTATTTTTAAAACGTTGAGCAGTTAGGATTTACAGGTAAATCACAACAGCTTTTTTTTCTTCTGCTTTAGATCGACCACCTATCTGTGGAAAAACTTTTAATTGACAGCGTTCACGCCCGGGCCCATCAGAAACTACAGGAACTCAAGGCCATTTTAAAAACCAGCAATCCCAGTGACAACTGTATGTGTTTCATCTTCTTTTGTAATCACTGGAAAATAATAATAATAATAATAATAATAATAATAATAATAATAAT